CATTAATACTTTGGTATATTTCTGAAGCAATTACTCCAATGTTAAATCTTTCACCTCCTTCTTCAGTAACAAAGAAAACCATTACTAGTATAATTTAACAGTATCAAAGAAATAGCCTGATGAAAACTGGCTCCATCTTAGGACTCTTTCTTCAGTCACACGTTTCCCCTTCAGTACTATACTTTGAAGATTTTCTCTTCTCTAGTCATCTCAGATTCCCAGCAGTTTGCCCTCTTATACTGCCTCTAAACACTGGTCTAAAGAGAAAGCCTGAGGGTTTTCTTCATTTCTTATGCTGTCTTGTGCCCTGGTGATACCATGCTTCTTCTTCACCGCTACTGACAACTGTACGTAGACAACTTCCTCCTTATTACCAGCCAAACCTCGATGCTACCATGAGATGACTTAGAGTAGCATGAACCCAACAAATCTGAACCTGTATTCATGACCGTCCTGACCGTCCTCCCAATCCCATTTGGTCTCCATTCCTCCCAGCTGCAAAAGACAAACACCTAGAAGCTGTTCTTGGCCGCCATCCTTTTCCTTTCTCTCCAAGTCTATTCATGCCTGGAAACTTCACCTCAAATACCTCTCAAATTCATCCACTTATGCCCATCTCCACAGGTCTGATGTCTTCTTCCTTCTAAATTTAAGGACAAAAGTCTACTTTAAAATACTCACACATGGTTTATTCTTTCTCATCTCTCTTCTGTGGCTAAGCCATGTCTTTTTATTTTTCCTCTCAAAACACCTTTTAGAAGCCTTCATTCATTAACTCACCTCAATATTAGGAAAAGATTAAGTAATGCATGAAGGTCATAGTTTATTCCTCAAAAATCAGTCATCACTCAAACACATAAATTACATAAGAATGCATCTATGAATATACATTTTAGGTCATCTATAAAATGTACACATTTTCAGCTTTTCCTATTCCGTAAGTTCAACATCAGTCCTATATGCCAGCTTGCTTACCTGCCTTTCTCAAGCATGAAGGGTAGCTCCATTTTTGCATTCTCAGCATTGCGGAACATAGTTTCGTCTCCTATATTATTTGTGGCTTTAAAGGAATTATGAAACAAGGGGCTGGAGAGGCAGCTCAGTGGTTAGAAGCACTGGCTGCTCTTGTAGAAGACATGAGTTGGAATCAAGCACTGGCTGCTCTTGTAGAAGACATGAGTTGGAATCCCAGCACCCACATGGTGGCTAACAACCATCCATAACTCCAGTTCAGGGGATCTGATGTCCTCTTCAGACCTCAGCATGAGTGCACTTACAAACATGTAGGCATAACATTCATAGACATAAAATAAAAATAAATAAAGCAAAAAAATTATTTTATAAAAAGGAATTACAAAACAAAAAAAGCATGGGTCATCATGCCCTTAGACTGTTTAAAGAACAGGACGTAGCTGTATTCATATTTGTCCTTTGTTTCCATAACATCTCATAAAGAGAAACTGTGTAAGATATATATAACAAAATTAAAAGAATCTTTCCAAAAAGCAATGTTCTCAAATATGTTAACTCTGTATCTCCTCAAAAAACTGTGTTTGGCTAAAAAGGTTAATAAGAATTGATGCCCAACCAAGCAAGGAGTTTAAAACAGAGCACCTGGCTACAGTCAGCTGCTCGTGTATGACATCCCTGAACCTTGCAGTGCAGAAAACACAGAACAGGGACCGGATGGAGAGTAAAAGGAATGGCTCAGTGTGTAAAGTACTTGCCATGCAAGTGTGAAGACCCAGGTTCAGGTTCAAATACCCAGAACCCACATAAAAGCCCATGGCAGGTACATCTGTAATCAATCCCAGTGCTTCTACCATGAGGTAGGAGGTGGAAGCAGAAAATCCCCAAAGCTTACGACAAGCCAGCCTGCCAACACAAAGAGAGTCTGTCTCAAACAGACTGGACAGTAGAAGACAGGCACCTGAGGGTGTTCTCTAACCTCTGCTCCCCAGCATGGCACTGAGACGTCTGCACTCAATACACACCTTCACTCACAATACACACATACCATACACATATCACACATATGTATCTACCACATACATACACAGACACCTCTCTCACAGACACACATACACGCATGTGCCTACACACACACACACACAATTAGAAAGAAAATGAATCAGAAAAAACTACCAACATATCAATCCTTTCCTAACGCAGATTATTTGCCATCGGTTCCTAATCTCTTCGAAAAGAAAATGGTAAACATTTGTAGAACCAATCTCAGTTATCAAGCTAATCTATTTTACAAAGAGGATGTGTTTATAGATAGAGCATAGATTTTTTTAAGTAGTAAAAACTCCTGTTTTGGTAGGATTACAACAATTTATCTACCTAAATTCTCATTCTACCCATATGAACATAAAAAATATAAGATGGGTCAGGTGTGGTGCTGCATACCTTTAACCCCATCACCCAGAAGGGAGAGGCAGGCAGACGTCTATGAGATCAAGGCCAGCCTGGTCTATATAGTGAGTTCCAGACCAGCTGGGACTACAGGGAGACCCTTCTCAAAAAACAAAGCAAAACTATATATACACATGGAGGGAGAGGGAAAATAATACATTTAGACAACTGGCAACTAGGTAATTGTGGAGCAACTGTAATTAACAAGTAATTAACAAGTTCATTAATGAATTGCCATCAGCCACAAGGGCAGGTCTACCAGCAGGCTTCAGGACTCTGTATATGGCCTTCTGTTCAACTACTTGATCAATAACTGCAGTAAAATTACAGAAGTCCTGTTGGCATCTAATAGGCATCCTGACATGAATAGAAGAAATAAGATACATATCTACTTAAAAATTATACACACACAATAAAAGAGCTAAGAGTAAAAACATAGTAAGTTAGAAAAACAGGCTAATTCTCCTAAAATAAAATGTAACAGAAAAAAAAATACCTAAGGAATCAGCACTTGTATCCAAACAAATATACATATCTTTGAGATGGGCAGGCTGTAGCTTGATAGCCACAATTTTTAAAGCTTATTTCATGGCTTTAGTAGACAACAAGCATAGTTTCACATGAGAGCAGCAGGCTTGGTGTGATGAGGTGTAGGATCAGAAAAGTTAATGTGATGTACACACAGAAAGACAGTCCCTGGAGGTAAAAGGCAGCAGTCTTGTTCCACTCTGACTGCCTTTTAGGGGGCCACAGTCTTCACGGTGCTGGAACACTGGCATGTATGTTCAGAACAAAACAACCAGGATGCTTAGAAGCATGGGTAGTAGTCCATAGGAGTAAGAGGAAGGGACAGAAGGTAATGGAGGCTTAGAACAGACTCAATGGGAAATGGTAGCTATCTCCATTTAGTCATTCAATGAATATGAATCAAATCTGTTTCAGAAAACATCAGGAAACCCCACTTCATTGGGAGAACAGCCAGGGATACAGAGACAAGATAAGTCAGTCACATATACAGAAAAGTCTTATATATAGCTGATGAGCCAGGATCTGAGAAGAATTAAACTGTTCTATAAAAGCCAGGCTTGAGAGTGTATACCCTTAATCCCAGCACTCGGGAGGCAGAGTCAGGTGAGTTCAAGGTCAGCCAGGGCTACAGAGTGAGATCTTGTCTCCAAAACCAAAAAAGGATTTCATAAGGGGGAGCCAGTGAGAGAGCTCACATGCTTATAAGCCTGGCAATAAGCGTTCAATCCCTGTAAGCCACACAAAGATGGAGGGAGAAAATCAGCTCCACAAAGCTAGCTGTCCTCTGACCTCCACATGTGGGCCATGGCACACCACCCACAGACATGGACACACAGACAGACAGGCAGACAGACAGACAGAAGAGAGAGAGAGAGAGATTTCATAAGGTACAAGCTGGAACAGGAGAGAAGGTAGAAGTTCAAGTTCTGCACTTAGAAGGGTTACATCTAAAGTAAGACAGGCCTGGGTCATTCTAACTTCCTTTCTTGCTACATTATGGCCCGGACTTCTCCAGGAAATAAACTCTCATTGGATTCATCCTACTTATACATTTTAGTGCCCCAGATTTCCTACCTTGCTACTTCCAACTTTGTCTCCACTAAAGCCACTTTCCACAGTGAGAAACAGAAAAGTTGTTTGGATCCATCAGAAGATGGAACAACAAGAAAAAAATTCAAGGTTTAGCCTTCATGTACTTTGAATCCATAAGGAAAAACCAAGCATTCTCTACCCTTTAATTCACAAATTCAACTAAACTATTCAAGTATTCTCAATTAATGCAAAGATCACTTGGAAAATATGTGTCTTAACCACTCCAAAGCCCTCTAAGATTGTGTGGAAAGTAACTTTATGTTTCTGAAAAGACACGATTCATCAAATAGAGTAAGCTAAGTGCCACAAACTAAACGAATTGTGGAATTCTGATTAAATGGCCACTTAAGTTTAATCTATCTAAAACTCACAGGATAAATGGAGCCTGACATAGGCTCTGGCTTTTATATATTAGATCGGATCATTTAAACCTTCACTTTATTGTGTGCTGCAACTGGCTATCTAAGGAGTTCGCTCTCCAAAACTGTTCTTTTTTTTCTTGGCAGCAGTCCCTCATACTTCAGTGCATTCTCGATTTGAATACAGTAAATATACACTTTATGACTTCTCAGGCTCGCTATTTCAATAGTGCTCAGAAAGATGAGCAAGGAGCAGAAGGGGCTCCATCGCTGCCCACCCCACCCCACCCTCCAAGGCATCCCCTGCCGCAGGCATTCACTCTGGTGCCTCTGAGGGCCTCTCCACCGAATTCTTCAGTATAAAAGGAAAGGCGGTGGGAGGCAAAGAAAGCCAGATCTCAGCTTTCCTGGGAGAAGGAGATCCTTTTTGACCACAGCTAGGCTCCGCTGGGATTTCCTCTGGTTGTCTAGGCAGCACCAGCCAGAGGCAGCGATGCTCAGGCAGCTCTGGGCGCCCCATCCTGGCACGTCCCCCACCGCCCGCAATCAGAGCCTGCCGCGACCCCCGGGGGCTCCCGGACAGCAGGTCCACGCTCCACTTACAATGACACCATCCCAGGTGGCAGCACCAGTGCAGCTTGAAGCACTTGCCGTGGCTGTGCGTGGCACAAATGGACAGCCCGTCGCACGGCTGGAAGTCGGGTCTGCGGGCGGCGCAACTGCGCGCCAGGGCCTGCGCCTCGTCCACTTTCTCGCTCTTCCATCCCCGCTCGGGCGCCGACGCGGTCGCACTCATCTCCTTTCCCGGCGCGGAGCCGAAGCCAGAGCTCCGGGCACCGGGCGGCTGCGGTAGGCGGCGTCCGAATCAGGCCCGAGCGGCAGGAGGCGGCCTGGCTGGCTGAGGAGCCGCCCGGGCGGGCGCAGCGACGGGGTTGGGCCTGCGGCCTCCCGGCGCTCGCACCCCCCTCCGGGCCGCTCCCTCCTCTCCGCTCGCCTCCCGGCTCTGTGCTCTCCCGTCCCTCCTCCTGCTCCCCCTCCCTTCTCTGCTCCCCGCTCCCTCCCCTCCTTCCCGCTCGCGGCTCCAGCCCCGCGCACGCGCACACCCCTGCCGCCGCGCCCCTCCGGAGCCGGGCTCCCCGAGCTCGCGTGGCTGGCGCCGGGCCAGCGGGTCCTCGGGCCCTCGGAGCAGGAAGAAGGGCGGGTGGGCCGGGCCGCAGCGGGGCTGCTCCGTAGCTGCTCTTCTCCCGCAGCTGCCCCGCGCCCTTGCCCTCATCGCTTCACCACACACCGCCAGACGCGCGGTGGAGTCGGGCGTGCGAGCGCTCGCCCCTGCACCGCCCAGCCCGCCGTCGGTGCTCCAACCCCGACCGCGCCGGTACTTCCCAGGCCAGCTCTCCCGGAGCTAGTCCCAAGGAGCAGCGTCCGCCCCCTGCACGTGACAGCTCTTAGCTGGGGTGTGGGCGTAACGTGGGCTGTGTGGTGGATGTTTTAGGTTTGTGCCATGATACATGGGATACATGGGTCTGTGTGGTGGATGTTCTAGGTTTGTGCCATGATACATGGGTCATACGTTGTATGACCTGTGATACACGTGTGTGTGGTGTGTGCAGTCCACTCTATGTTTGTCTGCGTATACGGCACGTGTGTGAATGTATTTACATAGTTTGTAAATACATTTACATTTACATAGGTTGTATATGATATGTGGTGGTCTCACTGGCGTTGTGAACGTGCTCGGCTTGACACGGATAGGGGTTCACAGATAGGACTTATGCCAATCTGCTTTGCGGTGTAGCCCATCCTGTTCCTGGATGTAGATGTCCGGGCTGCAGCTCCCTCTCACAGCTGTCTTGGTTCTTCTCTCCTGGTGACAAGTTGCTCCAAATAGACTTTCCATCCCAGGCTGCATCCAGTGAAGGAAAAACAAAGCATTTGCTCCCAAGGAGCACTGCTGGGAATTGGATTCCCCAGCAACGAAGCCAGAAGCCAGCCTAGAACAGGGAAAAGGAGGGGATGCGGTCTGCTTATTTGCCAAATGCTTCTCCTGTCCAGGAAAATGCCTATGATAACTGAGGTTCGGGGAACAGAGCCTTTCTGCACAAAACTGGATTGGACTCTAGCGGAATCTACCTCTAGGTGGAGACATGCCCAATGTAGTAGGGCAAGTCAGGGCCTTGGCTTGGGGACCGTCGCTAAAAAGGTTCACCTTAAGTGAACCTTTTCCTTTCCAGAAATCCTGACCCGCTAGTGTAGTCCCTATGAACGGAGCCACTGGACGGTTAGGCAGGGCCTGCCTGCCTTTCGTCAGAAAGGCCTATTTCTTTCTCTTTGGTCTTCATTCAGATGCTGGCCACAGCCTGGGTATGCTGTTAACCCCCCAACATTTTGGGCTTCCTCACTCTACAGCTCCCCTCGCTGCTGCTCTGTGACTGGTGGCTGACCACCCTATCTCAAGCAGTATGGCTTTGTTCCTTCTCTCTTCCTTTCCCCCCCAGGCAGCTGTGAGCTTTACAGCTTGCCTGTCCTGGGCTTTTCCTACACACTGTAATAAATTGTCCTCGAGTTTCTGTTTGAATCTTTTATTGAGACCAAAAACTCCAAGAGGGAACCCTGATTTCCCAGGTATTGTATGATGGCTCTGCTGGGATTCCCCAAGATTTCTGGTAACACGTCTTTCCTGCCTTTTATTTCCTAATTAGCAAAGAGAAAATGAACCCGTTCCTGCATCCATAGATCGCGTCAGCTTCTCTTTCGCTTTATCCTCTCTGTTTGCAATGACAGGAGCTTCATCCTGGTTTTAAATAACATTCATCCTGAAGCCCTTAATAAAATCATTTATCAGGGGATTGAGAGAGACTCAGTTTGGTGGCAAAGGTTATTTTTCAACCAATTTCTGGCTCCCCATGAACCTAACACTGAAGCAGTTGTAAACAGGCATCATCTCTCCACCCGCTTCTCTGCCGCCCACCTGCTAAATCCCAAAGCAGTCCGTTGCTGACTCAGAAAGTCCGTGTCCCTGCGGTTACGTTCATATATCTGCCTCAGAAGAACTTGAGCAAAAGAGAAAAAAATCAAGGGAATCCTTGTATATTAGGGTACAAATGAATGTGTATTGCATTATTACTGTATCATCAAAATAACCATTTTTTCCACAAACAGGGATTTCCATCTATTTTAACCTATTTTTCTCCTTTAATCCATTAACTCCCTCTAATACTGCCCATCTCTTACAGGCCTAATAGCAAAACCCCTTCAGAAATACACAGGCTTTAATTGTAAAGTGACCGTGAATCTCCATTAGTAAAACATGCTGATGCAGAGTTTTTTAGTGCAATGTGATATTTCATGGCTTAGTTGTACACGGCTCAGGGTTCTAAGATGCTAGACATTCACGGCCATCAAAGATCTAGTTCGGACAAGTTCATTGTCTCATGCCAAACGTGACTAATGATGAGACTCTTGTGGGTGTGTGCAAAGTGGAATCAAGCTTTATTAAGAATTGTCAATGAAACTGGGAAACTGAGGAAAGTAAAAAACTAAGGAAAAGTGAGAGAAAGACCTGAGAGTCAGAAGGGCAGCCTAGAGAGGAAACAGCCATCAAACTCTTTGGTATAGAGGTTCTTACAGAGCCGAGGCAGAAACTGGACATAGGCTGAGACAGGTTGGTTCTCTGGGTATGGTGCCAAGCCAGTGGAAGGACCGCAAGCTTATACATGTCTCCCTGGCCTAACCAAGGACATAATCATGTGCTGTTCATGTTCTCTCTGTCTAGTTAGGAGTGATCGAAACCCTTCTCTGTCTCTGATTTGTGCTTTGTTAGCTATTGACTTTGACAGTCTGCTGACTGTTAGTCACTAGCTGATATTGCTACTTCTGACCTTGCTGGTGTCTGGCGATGATGATGATGATGATGATGATGATGATGATGATGATGATAATGATCGGCTTGTAGCTTTACCAACCACGGCAGAGAGATAACTCTATAACAGGCACTAAGTTACAGCTGCAGTCTTTCTTGACTACCTGTGTTTAGCTCTTTGCCTATGATGTGTCTGAGGTGGTCTCCTAGGGAGAAATTTCTTGTTAGAACCCATCCTTTTCCTCTGTGTTGACCCTCCTCTTTGTAGACTGGACACTGGTTCATGTCTATCTCATGGAGTCTCCTCGACCTCCTTGAACAAGAGGATAGGTGACCCACCACAATTACAGGACATTTTGGGAGATGCTCATAGTCCCCTGGAACTAGTCGACCTAGGAGGACAAGGAGCAAAAACTGTCCTTTATGTCCCTCTGACCAAATTAGTATAGGCCTCAAAGTATGTCTGTTAAACATTCAAAAAGGTTAGTTCCACCAATCTGGTACGTTTAATTACTGTGTACCATGTAGCTAAATCTTGGGCAAAGACCAATTGTTCTTAGATAAACCTTACTTAGACATAATTTCTTACTCTGCTATGTATAATTTGTCAGTAGGTTGGTGGCGTAATATGATTCCCTCTGGTTTATAAAACTACCTTGGCATTATTTATCTCTCGCATTGTCTCACCCCTCCATCATGGTTTTCCCACTTAAGGTGCCCACATTTCCCCCCTTTCTCCCTTACTATTACCCTTCTCCTACAGTCCTACCTCTCTTGAGCTCCTTCTTTCCCTTTATCCCCTAGGTTCCTTGTATACCCTTCCCTACCCCCTCCCTTAAACCAGCACAATTTTTATCCATATCTCCCTTATTAAGGCCTGTTTCCTACTGTTCTTCTCTTTCAGGTTCTTTCTTTTCCTTTACCTC